CTGTGAACTTTAGTTATAGAGAATAGAAAAAGTGAGGGAATTTGACGTACTTTCCAGGCACCAACTTTTCCTTTTGCATGCTCAAAAGCATATAAAGGCAAATCTGTTCCTTGGGATCCGATAAAGATTGATATTATTGCTTTTATGAGATTGGGTCATTATGCAAACTGCTAATTATACAAGTACTACTATGTAAATGTAGTAAAGTTTAGCATACAGAACTGATGAATAAAGTTATAGATAATTTAAAAAATTAAAGTAATTAAGACTTATTTTGTCACTTTAGTTATATATACTTATATATACCTTGGTCTTGTGCCTGTCTCCCACAGTAATGTTCTTGTGATGGGGACTTTATAATGTAGATAGAAAAGCATTTTAGACAATTTAATGTTAGTTTCAGACATTTATCCATATCTTTTGTCTCACATATTTGAATTAAAGTTGGAATATATTAAGAAAAAGTGTTAGCAAATTAAATTTGTTAACATGGAATCTCACCAAAGAAGTTCAAAGATTAATTAGATCGCAAAGAACATATATAGGACAAATTCGATCCTAATCTCAGATGGATTAATTGCTCAATCACACATCTACAAATGTGTTCATGGAAAAGGCTTAATTCAGAATTAATTGAATTTAAATAAGTAAATTGTAGTGAATTGTTATAATATAATTTAAATTATGGAAAAAGCTTGATTCAGAATTAATTGATGATAGTGAATTAAGCCATTAGGAAATGATTTTGATTTTGATGGACCATTGACAGTATAATTTGCTTTGAGTGTGTTTGGGTGAGTTCATTTCAATATGGATTTTGACTAGTGATCTCTTAACCTATTCTTGGTGTAATTATTGTGGTTTTTTCGGAATGATTTCAAAACATGAAATCATGAGAATCTTGAACTGAATCATCTCCTCAAATCCAAGTATATCTATCTAATTTCAACCTATGTGTTGTCAAATTAACCTGCAGGTCAAATAGGATTTAGGGTACTTGCAACCTATGTGTTATCAAATGCCTATTTAGTATTAGTTCATTAGGTTTTAGGGGAGTAAATTCATGCATATTAGAGAAGCTACACGTGTCAATATGTTGTTAGCCTGTTACAATGTTTTGAATCTATTCAAAATAAGTGTTAGACACTTGATCTAACATCAATCCAAACAAGCGATACGTGACATCCAAATCACTTAAAGCACATTTGGTTAGGGGGATTAGATAGGATAACCCCATTTATCCAGGGCTTATCTTGTGTTTGTTATACATGATACTGGCCCGCATCTTAATCTTAGGCCCGGGATAAAAGCTGCATTATCTTGAGTGTGCGAGACTAAATAATCTCGTGCAACCCCCGGGATTGAGATAATCTTCACAGTATAATTATGATTAAATAACTAATTAGCCCTCCAAAAAAGCTAAAAAGGGTGTGCTTACCTCTCTCTGTCATTCACACATCGCGACACAGACGAGGAACGCGAGAAGAAACAGGTATGGTCGTCCCTTCGATCCGATTGAATAGGTTTTTCCGTTTGTTTTTTTTTTCTCTTTTTTTTTTTCTGGTTTTTGCAAATCTCTTATGTACTGGTATGAGGAAGCGAATTCAATTTTTTCAGGAATTTCGCAGTACAAAATATGTTTCCTCAAGAATGATAAAACAATATCCCAAATTTTTTAGGGCAAGAAAGATTTAGCAACCGCCGTCAATATAACTCACCGGAGATGAGTTATTCGAATTGCTTACAATTTTGGAGGGCGCCATGACCTGATATAATTGATGATCTTCAAATCAGGAGGAAGGAATTTTTGCTCGCCATTTTCCATGGAATAGAGATTTAAAAAAAGAAAATAGGAAAACGAATGAGTCATAAATAATTGACAAGAAGCCTTCAAGGGCACTTCAGTCAATTGACAGCTTAATCGACACTATTATCAGCCCAACCAAATGTAGGTACTTATTTTATCCAATCTTAGAAAAAACACAAATCATGGAGAACAAACAACCTAACACATTAATCTTTACAGTATAATCCGGCCACAACACATTAATTTAGTCCAATCCCATCCTAGAAACCAAATGTGCTCTTAGTAATAATTTCTAACTATCAAAGATCATGATGAGATTAAACGGACTCCAACTTCTCATCCAATAGCTCGGACGAAAATTAAATTTAAAGCATTCGACCTCCTTGAGCAAAGGTCGAAGAAATAACAACAAGAAGATCAACCACGCCCAACAAAGTACTTGGATCACACGACCTACGAAAACCGATTAGATCTCTTATAAAGTTGGATTCTGACAGAATATTAAATGTGGACAAGACATGTGTCAGTTATCCTGTGGACAAGCAACCGACTAACATGAGACCCACCCT